ATTACTGTTTTTCTTAGACATTTTATTGTTGGATGTAACTGGGACCCCGTGTACATAATTTCGCTCCACCACATGTACCACATGAGGTGCGAATGACAATAAAGAAACTCTGACTCTGACTATAGCAGAATTATGATTTGGAAGATTTGTAGAAGATAGGTTCTTAAGTAGTTTCACAGACAGGACAGAGCAGAGCAAAGAAAAGCAGAGAGGGAGAGGAGGAGAAGGGCGTCCACTCTTAACAAGAGCAAGTGTTGAAGCGGTTGTGTGGGTTCTCCACCAGTCTGGCCTCTGGGACAGGGAAAAAAACACTTCCAGACCTAGATCAGTGTTAGAAACCACAGAAGAAGCCCTGTGAACTGGAGTTTTAGTCCAGGTGGACAGCCCCAAGAACCTATTGGTTCTGGTCCAAACTTTCTGGTGTCTGCTAGAAAGATGAAGAGGTGATTAATTTTTCACAATGAGCCCAAACCAACATCCAGATTAACCAAAGAGTGGCTACACCAGAAGGAACTGAAGTTCTACAAGGTCCTGACCACATTCTAGGTCTGAGACCAGCTCTATGAGGGGACCAGAAGACATCTGTCCACAACATGTCCTCACAGTCTGACAGGACATTGACGAGGTCAAGAGGACAAAGACTACAAGTCAATGTGTGGACTCCTTCATAAGACTGAAGGTTGTAATGCGATCAGACAATGATTTGACTAATCATTAGTTTCAAACTAGATGTTTTTAATTATACTTCCTGTTGACAATGTGTCTTCCAGCTGACTTGAACTGGATGGATGTTCCAATAAAGGTGGAAACATTTGGAAATTATTTCTTATGGTCTAATTTTTTACATCAGTTTAGTAAAGGCTGGAAACCTTCAGAGTTGGAACCTAAACGCTCACGGTGGATTTGACTCTACAGCTTAAAGAAAGGAAAGACAAAGTCTCTTCCTGTCGCAAACAAGCAGCAATTTGGTAGGTACAACGCTGGCCAAGATAGGCCCCGCCCACTCTGTCCCACAGGAAGTGACTCACTGAGGTATCTGTGGAGGGGGATGCAGCGCTCAGGGTCATCGATGGGAGACAGCAGCTCACAGATCCTCTCCGGGGTTTGTCCTTCATGGAAGCGTTTCATGTCCCCACACTGGGTCAGGATGTCCACACAGTCTGACCTGTGGACACAGACAGAAGCAGCTGGGACACAGTTCATCCTGTTGGAAGACAGACCTGTCTGCAGCTCATACACACGCAGAACGTAGACATTCAATCTGACTTGACTGGCTTTTTTCATAAATAAAATAATGAATTGATTATATAATAAATTTTGATTATGAACATCTGATCACCCAGGAGGTGTACAGATTCATACTGGGACTAATTTATTCATACCCTGTTGTTAAAAAATTAAAACAAAACTGAAATAATTTGAAACTGACCTAAGTAATAAAAAGAAAATATTAAATATCAACTACTGAAAAATCAGTATTTTTTATTATTTTTATTTTAGGTCAACAGTTTTATTAAAAAAAGTAAATTAATGGAACTAACCCAGACAGAAAGGATGGTACACAGAAAGATTGATACTAATCTGTCCACAGGGACATGTTAGGCTCAGGTGTGTCCTGCAATCAGCATATCAGGTGTCTTCAGTCTGCCTGTTTAAAGGGTGACAGGTAGTCACAGTGCTGTTTGGTATCATGGTGTGTAATGGAATGAACATGGACTACAGGAAGCTGAGGACAGAGATGTCTCAGGAGCCTAGAAAGACAATGATTGACAGTCCGTTGAAGGTAAAAATGATCAGACCATTTCCAAGCAGCTTGATGATTCACTGACTTCAGCTGTACAGATCATTCAGAAGGTCCACAGGACTAAAGACAAGCTCGCTGGACATGTCCACAAAAGGACAACTGGTGACAAACTGAAGAGCTGAGCAATATGGTAACTGAAGAGTCCAGAACAACTTCCAAAGAGATTACAGTTGATCTCCAAGGTCAAAGTCATCAGAGTCAGCTCACACCATACATTTTTTGGAACAAAGTGGACTTAATGGAAGACAACCGAGGACACCAGATAAAACAAACAAAAAAAAAAAACAGACTGGAATATGTCAAAATGCACATTGAGAAGCCACAAAGATTTAAAGATGAGACAAAACTGAAACCTTTTGACAACTTGTCCCATCAGCTCTGTGCTCAGACCCAAAATTAAAACAAAGAACAGAACCCTACAGTGAAACATGTATGAGACTCGGTTCTGTTCTGGGGCTGCTGTTCTACATCTGACACAGGATGTTCTGAATCTGCACATGGTCCAATAAAATCTCAAGACCATCAAGGCATTCTGGAACTAAATGAGATGCTCTTGTCAGAAAGTGTGGTCTATGTCACAGGCCATGGGTCCTCCAACAGGATAATGACCAAGACACACAGCTAAACACCACCAAAATGGATCAGAACCAAACATTGAACTATTCTGAAGTAGAACCAAAACAACTGTAAATAGGTGGACCAAAAAAAAAAAAACTGTGGATAGGTGGACCAGAACATCTGTATTTGTGGACAGGTGGACCAGAACATCTGTGGACAGGTGGACCAGAACATCTGTGGACAGGTGGACCAGAACACCTGTGGACAGGTGGACTGGAACATCTGTGGACAGGTGGATCAGAACACCTGTGGACAGGTGGACCACAATAGCTGTGGCCAGGTTGACCAGAACACCTGTGGCCAGGATTACTAAGATGGCTGAGCTCTCAGGAGCCGCAGATTCACAGGGTCCCAATGCGATCCCAGTTTTTAGGAGTTTTGAAATTGACTCCATGTCTGACTCTGCACGCTTTATGCGTATAAATTATAGCCGAAACGAAACAATGAGAATAAGAGAAGAATTTACCATGGAATACAGTAGCGATAAGCAACGATCTTAAGTCTACGCTCGGCAGAATGCGGATCCTAAATTCATCCTTCTGGGAGCTTCAGCAGAGGCGCTCTAACGGGAAGAGAAAGCACTGCTTCCGGCTTAAGAAGCGAGGTTGCTGGGCTGGGGTGCTAGTAAGGCTAAAAGCTAACGCTAAGGCTGGCAAACTCCCGATACCTCTCTTTCTGTCAAATGTCCACTCTTTGGACAACAAGATGGAGTTGCCTTGTCTGAGAGTGAGTGCCTCAGAGGAGATGAGGAAATGTGCAGTGCTTTGTCTCACAGAATCATGGATTAACGGCGACATGTCAGACTCCATGTTCCAGCTGGATGACAGACTTTTTCTTCGAGCGTACTGCTGCAGCGAGCTAACGGGGAAGTCCGGAGGGGGTAGGGGGGTGGCGGTGCGAGGGGTGGAGTATGCATTTACGTGAGTAAAAGCTGGTGCACAAACTTGTACCCTCATGCTCCAAGGCTTTGGAGCAGCTAACAGTGAAATGTCGACCACATTATCTATCCCATGAAGTCACAGCAGTGTTCATAACAGCTGTTTATGCTACAGATGCTCTGCAGGAGCTGCATGATAATTTTAGCTTGCTGCAGAGCAAACACCTGAGGCTCTTTATGTGGTGGCTGGTGACTTTAATCACGTAAATCTAAAGGACTGCCTGCCAAGATTTTACCAGCATGGGGCCATACCAACAAGTGGAAATAACACGCTGGACCGTGTTTACAGGAATGTACAAAATGCATAGAAAGCCGAACCCCACCCCCACCTAGGACTCTGATCATATCTCCATCTTCCTGGCTCCTGCTTACCTCCCCCCGCTGAGACGCTCCTGACCGATAAAAAGAAAGTTAAATCTTGGATGCAGAATAGTGGCTCCATACTGAAAGACTGCTTTGAATGCACAGACTGGCAGGTCTTCAGGGAAGCTGCTGAAAATGAGAGGGTGCTAGACCTGGAGAAATACACATCCTCAGTCCTGGGGTACATTAGCAAATGTGTTGATGATGTCAACCACCAGATATGTTAAGAGCTGCCCGAACAGGAAGCCTTGGCTAAATGCAGAGGTTTGCACCCTGCTGGAAGCCAGGAATACTGCCTTCAGGTTTGGAAACTCACAGGAGTTGAGAAGGGCACGGAAAGAGCTGGTTGCTAGTACTAAAAGTGCCAGGGGCACATATGCACAGAAGATCAAAGGTCAATTCACCTCAAAAGACCCACAGAACATGTGGAGGGGCATTAAGTGTATAACAGAATATAAAGGCAGAAGTGAACAATGCCCTAGAGACCCATCACTGCCAGATGCCTTCAACAGGTTTTACACAGGCTTTGAAGACCCGAACAGATTACCCAGCACCAAAATCACCTCACCACTGGAAGAAGAGCTTCTCAGCGTGACCTCAGCCGAAGTAAGGAGTACTTTCAAGAGGATTAATCCTAACAAAGCAACTGGCCAAGACAACATCCCAGGGAAGGTGCTGAAAGAATGTGCCGATCAACTCTGCAAGGTGCTGGTTGACATCTTTAACTCCTCACTTACCCTGGCAACAGTTCCCACCTGCCTGTAGACTACCACCATCATTATCCCAGTACCAAAGAGCTCTACAGTATTGGTCTGAATGACTATCGGCAAGTAGCCCTCACCTCGATAGTCACTAAATGCTTCGAAAAACTGGTCATGACCCACATCAAAACAACCACCAGCATCAACGAGGACCCTCACCAGTAAGCATACCGCAAGAATCGATCAACAGAGGACGCCATCTCCTCTGTGGTCCATACTGCTCTCCACCTGGAGCAGAAGGACTCCTACGTCCGTATGCTTTTTGAGGACTTCATGTCTGCCTTCAATACCATGATCCCCCAAACCCTGATGGACAAACTATTCACACAAGGACTAAGCCCCTCCATTTGCAACTGGATCCTAGACTTCTTAACAAACAAACCGTAGTCAGTGAGGATCCACAACTTCTCCTCCTCCACCATAACCCTCAGCACTGGCTCTCCCAGGGCTGTGTGCTGAGCCCTCTCCTGTTCACTCTGCTCATGTATGACTGTGCACCTACCCATCCAGGCTGTCACATTGTAAAGTTTGCAGATGATACAGAGGCGGTGGGATGCATCACAAACAACGATGAGTCCAGCTACATGCAGGAGGTGGAACACCTGGAGAGCTTGTGCAAGGAGAATAACCTTCACATCAACGTGAAGAAGACAAAGAAGATGGTTATGGACTTGAGAAGGAACAAAAACACCTATCCCCCCTGATCATAGGAGGATCTGCAGTGGAAGTGGTCTCCAGCTCCAAGTACTTGGGTGTACACATGAATGACAACCTCAGCTGGAGCAACAACACCACCAGCCTGATCAAGAAAGCTCATCAGAGACTCTACTTCCTCAGGCGACTGAGGCAAGCTGGCCTGGGAAGCTACAGGTGTGCAGTGGAGAGCATCCTGTGCTCCAGCATCAACACGTGGCATGGAGGCTGCACAGCTGCAGAAAGAAAAGCTTTGCAGAGAGTGGTGAAGGCTGTACAGAAGTCTGTTGGAGTCAGTCTCCCCACCATCACAGACATCTACACCTATAGATGCAGGAAGAGAAGCACCTGCATCATGAAGGACCCCACTCACCCAGCACACACACTTTTTGCCCCACTCCCCTCAGGAAGGAGGTTGAGGAGCATTAAGTGTAGAACAACAAGACTGAGGAACAGCTTCTACCCTGAGGCTGTTAGACTCATGAAACTCTAACCAGAATAATCACTGTGGAAAATCACATCATGTTGCTGCTGATCTGTTTCATGTTGCTGTGTTGATTTGTACTCATCTGCTCAGACAGACTCATGCTAATGTTCGTGCTGTTGTTCAACATAATGTTTTTATGCTATTAGTGCTTAGTGTATATTTAGTTGATGTTTTTCTTAGTTCATATCTTAGAGCTTATTACTGTTTTACTTTTACATTTTATTGTTAGATGTAACTGGGAGCTTGTGTACACAATTTTGTTCCACCATATGTACCACATGTTGTGCGAATGACAAATACAGAACCTTAAATCCTTAGGTGGACCAGAACATCTGTGGACAGGTGGACCAGAACACATGTGAACAGGTGGACCAGAACATCTGTGGACAGGTGGACCAGAACACATGTGGACAGGTGGACCAGAACACATGTGAACAGGTGCATAATTCTCAGGCTTGACTGAGTGATTGATTCAAAAAGTTGTCTAACGAAGTTTAAGTTAAAAGCATGTTTTTAAGAGCAGTTTCAAGAGTTTGTTCTTTACATGCTGCTCACATTTTAACATCAATAACTGATTTTCCAAGTTATTTTTTTATTACATTTGTCAGATTCAGGGTATTTCAATGAACTTTGAGGTTGTGTACATACTAGTCAGTGTATGTCTTCTGCAGAACAGCCTTAAAAAAGTATTTCAACAGAAATTTGTAAATGATAAAGAAAACATAAATAACAGATCATAGTGAGAAAAGCAACTGGCTATTACCAGAGCTACTTTAGACAAGGGCACCACATACGTCATATTATATGCCCGTCAACAAACTACTATACAGGAATCTATGACAAAGGCCCAGACAAGCAAATACCTTGTTTTAACTTTGACCTTGACTTGTGACCTTGACCTTGTAGCGGTGATGCAAAGTGTACACAACACTTTGCCTAGTGATGACGCATCTGCTTTCTGACTGGTGTATAATAAGAAAGATTCTGGATCAGTTTTTTTGTTGAAATCATCAGACTAACGAGGCGGCTGTGGCTGAGTGGTTACAGCAGTCTTCCTCCAATGGGAGAGTTGGGGGTTTGATCCCACCAGCAGTCACATGCTGAAGTGTCCGTGGGTAAGACACTGAACCCCTCATTGCCTCCAATGTGTGTCCCATCGGTGTATGAATGTGATCTAAAGCACTGATTAGTCTCTGTATAGATCTAGTAGAGTGCTGTATGAATGGGTACATGAGGGCACAGATTGTGTTGTAAAGCACATAGAGTATCTTGATAAGAGAAATGCGCTATATAAGTACAGTCCATTTACCATTTACCTACTTGCATATGGCACTGCCTCTGGACTTGCTGTGGCATGGTTTGATCTGCAGTGAGCAGGCCACGGCCTTCCACATGTCGGGCAGACATTTCCTGATGTCCAACACAGGGATGTTCATGAACGGCATCCGGATGGTCCCGTTGGACCACAGCTTGAAGTCGTTCATAGCTCCCTGATCGGACTGAACATTACAGCTGCGGAACAGCTCGGTAGGCCTAAACACACAGGATGAATAAAGGGCTATTAGTGCTTAGCGTATTTTTAGTTGATGTTTTTCTTAGTTCATATCTTAGATCTTATTACCGTTTTTATTTTACATTTTATTGTTGGATGTAACTGAGACCTTGTGTACACAATTTCGTTCCACCACATGTACCACATGTTGTGCGAATGACAAACAAAGAACCTTAAATCCTTAGGTGGACCAGAACATCTGTCGACAGGTGGACCAGAACACATGTGGACCAGAACACCCGTGGCCAGGTAGACCAGAACATCTGTGGACAGGTGGACCAGAACACATGTGGACAGGTGGACCAGAACATCTGTGGACAAGTGGACCAGAACACATGTGGACAGGTGGACCAGAACATCTGTGGACAGGCAGACCAGAACACATGTGGACAGGTGGACCAGAACACATGTGGACAGCAATCAAAGTTGGAGGTCTAGCCACGCCCACATCTCATGACGAAAATTCAAGCCTTTGATAACATTTATCCCCCGTGCTTTCCTGGCATAAGCTCTAGAAGTTTATTAAAGGGATCTCCAACTACTTGCATGTATTGGCTTTAATATGTTATTTCTCTATTCTACTAGGGCTTTAACAGACTGCTCGAGTAATCTACTCATCGATTCCTAGGACATCTATTGAGTTTTTAAATTTCACGTTTAATATTCGCAGTGACGTCATTACGTCACAGTTACGTCATTGAGTCACGTGTCACGTGACCCACACCGGACCACACAGACCCAGTCAGTGTCTCTCTGTTGGACACAGTCAGTGTCTCCCAGTCAGACCCAGTCAGTGTCTCTCAGTCATACCCAGTCAGTGTCTCTCAGTCATACCCAGTCAGTGTCTCTCAGTCATACCCAGTCAGTGTCTCTCAGTTGGACCCAGTCAATGCCTCTCATTTGAACCCAGTAGGTGTCTCAGTCAGACCCAGTCAGTGTCTCTCAGTCATACCCAGTCAGTGTCTCTCAGTCATACCCAGTCAGTGTCTCTCAGTCATACCCAGTCAGTGTCTCTTAGTCGGACCCAGTCAGTGTCTCTCAGTTGGACCCAGTCAGTGTCTCTCAGTCGGACCCAGCCAGTGTCTTTCAGTCAGACCCAGTCAGTGTCTCTCAGTTGGACAGAGTCAGTGTCTCTCAGTCGGACCCAGTCAGTGTCTCTCAGTTGGACCCAGTCAGTGTCTCCCAGTCGGACCCAGTCGACTATCAGTCGGACTCTGCGGCAGCAGGAGCAGGTTCTGACCGGTTGTTGAAGTTGGAGCAGTACGTCAGGTCCTTGCAGCCCAGCTGGCAGGGCTCTCGAACATCTGCCAGACAGTTGATGAGCTCCGTCTCCACAGGGTTGTACTCACAGGGCTGATCAAAGTCCTGCCACGTCTGGCTGCCCCAGTGGGTGCTGATCTCCATGCACATGTCCCTGTCATGGCCCAGCACACAGTTAGTGACAGCCACTTCTTCTGAACCAGAACCTGTCAGCAGCAGAAGCAGAGCCTGCTGTCGTACCTGCACCGAGATGTGTTGGCCTTGGAGCAGCAGTGCAGCTTGGCACTGTCCTTGGCTGGATGGGGAATCTCCTCCTCTGGTGGGGGAGGAGGGTGAGAACTCTCCAGGAAGCACTGCCACATGGGGTCCTGAGGGAGGGGCTGGGAGCCACATTCAATGATCAGACCCTCCATGATCTCGTGCTCTGTGTTCATGGTGCGCAGTATCCGCCTGCAGGCCACCTGGCAGTGGGTGGCTTCTGCCCGGTCGCAGCAGTACAAACCTGGAGGGAAAGGGGCACAGGGACTCATCAGGGTTTAAAAACCTGCTTCATCAAGACCAGCGTTCCAAACAACTGGCTGTAATCAGCAGGACCATGCGAGGTTTCCATCTTTGTTCCTAAAGGGTGGCTGAAAAGAACACCTCAAACAACTAAAAAAGTTAAGTCTGGTCCTCTGGACATTTTGAATGTTCAGAGGACCAGACTTAACTTTTTAGATTTCTCTACCTGGATTATTGAGCATGCATCAGGAAACCCTCAAACAGTTATGAAAATGTTTTCTTCTGGCACAGCTTCAAAGTAATATTTAACATGAGGTCCTCTCCCATGATGTGAGAAATTAACATATTAAAAAAAAAGAATGATGTCCCCGTCGCTGAGGGATTTGAATGCTAAATGTTTATAGTTTTGGAGATGAGTGCTTTTCTGGAGTGAACCTTAATGCTTTAGTTCCAAGATATTCAAGTGGGTAGGAGTTATACTGTGGTATACCGGTGATGACCAGCTGATTCATATGAGATTAACAGGTCATTGTTTATGTCTTTTGATCGGCGGGTCAGCAGATGCGCGCGGCCGGTGATCAGCTGATCCAGCTGAAGCTTAACAGGACTTTGTTTTACCTCTACCGGCTGATCGGACCTGCCTCCTCAAGTAGATTGACACAATTTTATATTATGCATTCTTATTTAGTTCTCTTTGTGCTGTATGATTCGTAAAACCGCGTCATAGAAGCCCGAGCCGACATGCGCAATTCTTGCGCATTGAGCCAGCACGTTATAAAAATGTATTGGCTGTGCAGGTGTATTGTTGTAACCTGTCACGAGAGCCACCAATAAAGCATGGCGAGCTGCATGTGGCTCGGGAGTCACGCAATGAGTACCCCTGGTCTAAATGAAAATAGTCCTGGTGTTATCAGGTAGATGCTGGAGCATTGTGTACAGAGTGAGCAGCAGGTGGACTTACTGTCAATGGGGCTGCGTGCGGGGTAGGACTGCGTGAAGTTGTCGACACATTGGACCAGCTGGAGGCTAAGGCTGACACAGTACCCTTTGACAGCCTTGATCTGGGACTCTGTGGGGGTGGAGTCGGTCCTAAAGATGGCCTCACAGTACTCCCTGCAGGTGGTGTGGCGGCCCGCAAAGCTGCAGCACGAAGAACCCACTGAATGAAGACAGAGATCTCCTTATTAATCACAATGTAAATGTAAAAACAATGACATGTCTGCTAGTCTGACAGAGCATTTCAGGAAATATGGCTTACTGATAAGAGCTAAATATTTGATTACGTGTACAACAATCAAAATTATAAAAAGAAAAAATAATCTGCCAAACATGAACATGGCTCAGTGTGCTACAGAAACAAGTAATAATAAAAGTATGTATATATATATATATATATATATATATATATATATATATATATATAT